TATCTATAAGTTAGGCAATGTTATATCAACTTCGGTTCTCTAAAAGTAAACACATGCGACGCCATTCAATGAAAAGTAGAAATTGTCACTTTATGTGAGGTTCTTTATTTCTCACCTGATAAACTTTTCTTTTTCCTATCTTTATGAAATTCATCATTAGCCCAGCCTTTTCCGATCTCTTTTTTAACCAATTTCTTTACGCCATATGCTTAATGAGCGCATAATACAAGTGTGACCTTGTAAGCTTTCTTTGTTTGTATTTGTACATAGTCATCAACTGAAATGTTGATTTAAAGGATGATTCAATATATATATATATATATATATATATATATACATATATTAATGTATAGCATTTAAAAAAGTTAAAAATCTTATAAATAATCCGACTTGAAGAACCTCACAAACCAGTTGTAATGGTATAAGTAATTGAACGCATGAAATAGATTGAGTTAGGGTTGTACTTTCTGATTTGACCCAGAAAGAGGCAGCAAGAAGGACGCATGTGACGTCATGCTTCAACAGTAAGTTCCAATCATTTAACGAAGGGAATATCAATTTCATCCAAACAAGTTTGATCCTGAATTCTGTAATAGCATTCTTGTCCCAATAAGGTCCCCTATGTACGTGCTTACAGAATTAACTGAAAAGCAACTAATATAAAAACCAGCTTAAATTTTCTGCATAAAAGTAGCACTTCTGTTCATTCTGCCACAATGAAGAAACTTGATACGGAAAGTGTGACTTATAGATTAATACTTGTTTTCTTCTGGATTGTTAACGTCTATACACTTGTAGGTTTTTCAAAAGTGATCGTTGTCTTTTCTGATAGATTCGTGGATTGGTTTGGTTTATTTTTGGAATTGCCTACTTTACAAGATCAGAGAGAAAAACTCCCTTCAATACAACCACTTTTTCCCTGTTCTTGATTATTGGTATGTTCAGCATCTTCATATCATTTTGTGGTTATGTTTTCGCCTGTACTAAGAACAAGGTTCTAGCATATGTGGTAAGTTTTTTTCAATGCATCGTGCTTCATCTCACTATTTTTGCGAATCTAGTTCATGGGAGTTATGCTAACGCTGACGGTAGTCGAAGTGAGCTTGGGCATCTCTTTGGTTGCTGTTTTAATATACGAAGGAGGAATTTTAATCGTTCAGATCATACCCGGTCTAATGGCTGTCATCTTTGCCTTCTTCCTTATTACGGCTATAACACATGATGAACCAATCGAGTGAATATTGTCTTCTCACGAGCAATAAATCCAATTTCTACCTTTAAAACCAATAATGGTGTCAATTTTGTTGAATATTTGCTATGTTGACACCTGGTAATTAGTGGTGCCTGGTTAGAAAGTAGAAATTCACTTCAAGATAATGCTGAAGGGCTAAAATCACAGTAAATAAAGTTTAGCATTGATTTGATTTCTAGTGAGACAACAAACAATTCCTTTGCTTTTAAAGTCACTTTAATAAAAATGGAATTTTCATGAGGCTTGACTGCACAATTTGCAATTTATGGTCAACGAAATTGTGCCAAACATTTTAAACATTTTAACCTCTCTGTTGACCACTTAAACTCCTAAAGGAGGTAGAAGAGAAACTAGGGGGCTTAAACGGTGCTGGTCTATTAAGGAAATAAATGCGCATAGAATTGGACATAGTGGTAAATAACTGGTTAATTGGTTGATCCATGCTAGAGGCAGTGGCTTCTTTGGTTAGTAACTTAATGATTGATCATTTTAAGCAAGATAGGGGGGATGAACTTATGAGTACACTGAGTGATCTCTTCATGTAGTCAATTGAATATTCTGCTGGATATGATGACGGTGGATTAAGATACGTGTAATTTCTAAAAAAATCCGTAGTAATTATGTTTGGCAAGTAAACTGAGCAGTCATTTGTGGGGAAATAATGCAAATGTTTATTATTATATCAAATGGCAGGCGTCTTGATGGTTATCATTAGCCCTTTAGTTGACTTCAGGCTTCACAGAGTGGAAGGTACATCAATTTGAAAAAAAGTCGAGAGAGGAGGGGGACAGAAGAGTGTTTCAAAGATGTAAAAGAGACAGACACAAAGGTAGAAAAAAGGTGAGGTGAGTACTATGGAAGTAGTCGAATATGACATACAGTGAGATTATGGTTGTTTGAAGTGAGAACTCAACTGCCAGTCATTAGACTTTTTGCCGTATGAGCATACGTTGCCCAGTGTGCACCACGTGGAGGTAAGTCTATTGCACACCCCATGATGCAAATGTTAGTTCGACAGTGGTGGAAAATCAGAAGCTTTAAAGGACTTAAAAGCAATGTAAATGTTTTTTTCAGGCCTTTATATACTTACCAAAATATCATTCTCCCTTATCATAAAAGTGTATCTTATTATCATCATTATCCATGATTAAGTGGAGGACTATACGTTTATTTAGGGGTTTTGGAAAAAGAGCGAAATGCGCAGATGTTCAAATAAGTTGTCAGAACAAATAAAGTCTTCAATATTGGATTTCCACATTTATTGTGATTTCTTGTTTCTTATTACCTGAATAAATGTCCAGACATTCGTCTTTTAGACATTAATAGCCAATCTTCTGGGTTATTTTTCTCCTACCATGCTAAATGCACATATAATATTTGAATGAATTGTGTAATCCCTTTTCATACCCTGAAATGGCTGAAATGTGTGAGTATATTTTAACTAAGATATATATTTATTTATTTAAAATTTGGGTCTGCGATAGACTTACCTCCACGTGGTGCACCCGGGGCAACGTATACTCATACGGCAAAAAAGTCTCTTAACCGGCAGTTGACTTCTGGTTATAGGAGTAGGGAACGCACTGACTGCAAGGCATACATATATTGCGTTGATTAGAATAATAATTACCACATATCGAGGACTCTCTCAATTTAAATATAAGCTATTTTAGATCCAAATGACTGCAATATTCTACGCTATATTAACTTGGCTTGTTACACAAAATACATATGAGTTCAATAATTTACAAGAAATGGATGCCTGTTTATTCTTGAATGGGTGGATCAGGATGCTCCATTTCACTTATGGAGTACACAATTTATGCACAATTGAATTAGACTATCTCGTGCGCAATCAAACATTCTGGAGATGTGCGACTGTGTGTAAAGGGTACTTTTCTGCTAATCAGATAATGAAATTCATTTAAGTTACGTTAAAATGTATTCAATTTCTAAACATGTTTGCCGAGAACATAGTTTCAACTAAAGCTATCGTAGCTAAGTATTTGTTTCCGCAATATCATTGAGGTGGCTTAACTATTTCTGGAAGCCTCCCATACTAGGGTATTATAACGTAGAGAAATTGGGGTGTGCGAGACTTACCTCCACGTGGTGCACCTCGTCAACGCATGTTCATACGGCAAAAAAGTCTATAAACCGGCAGTTGACTTCTGGCTTCAAACTACCATGACCCTACTGTATGTCATATTCGACCCCTTCCACAATTCCCAACTTACCTTTTCTCTGCCTTAGTGTCTGCCGGACACTTTCACAACTGTCAATCATTATTCTGTCCCTCCTCTCCACTTTTTACAACTTTAATGTTCCCCCTCTTCTCTGTGAAGCTCGAAGTCAGCTAAAGGTCTAATGATAACTATCATAAAGCCTATCATTTGAAATAAATAAATAAATATAGAGAAATTAGTGACGATAAATAGTAATCCGATTTCCTTAATTACAGCCGGGTTTATTTAGTAAATGGCTGCATTTTTTCTGGCATCGAAAACAATCAGCAGTAGTTAATGAATAATTTTATATTAGTAATAATATTGTAAAATGAAATTTTCTATTTATAGTTTGGGACATGATATGAATGAAGAATGTGAATATGGAAATTTGGATGGAATCACACGTATTTACGTAGGAGAGTCTAGATTGCGTAATGTATTTCGATGACTTTACATGTAAACAATGAAAATGCTCCCAAAATCGTACTAAATATGAGGGTTTTTTCAGATATAGAGTTGTTGAAAAATAACTAACAGAATCGACTTAACTTTGAGCCTAGGAACTTCATGCATGCTCAAACATTCTAGAGCGTGCAGCCGTGCTGCTGACCGCATTCCGGAGCAAGTGCGATAATGATTCCAGAGATCTCTAAGCTATTAAATAGCCAATAGTAATCGCATAGTCGTCGATGCCAAGTTCTACACTATTCACATATAAACTAAAACAAATGCTACTCGCATCAAATGCTTTGTTTCCTCATTATTGTTGAGACGGATCGGCTATTTTCTGGGGGAAATTTTATACGAGGGGGTTTTGCTAATCTATTGTCAAAGTTCAATCAAGACCTATTTGAGTAGCCTCCACTACATTCCACTTAGGTTTAAATGAATATAAATTCAAAATGTAGATATTTTTAGAATGCTATGAAAAACATTTTTATTGGAGTTCTAATAGTAGAAACATTTCAAGACGCAAAATTCTGATTGCTTTATGATGAATTCATGCCTTCGTTCATAAAAAGTGGTAATGTAATTAGCAATAGTACTAACAAAACTCCATATTAAAAGTTGCATTTGACAAATATATATAATTTTTTGCATGCCTCAGCATGTAGCCAATGAATAATTATGGGAATATAAATTATTATAACTTTAGTTATTTCAAATTCGTAAATGAAACTGAATATTAAAACCGACATAAACATTGTTCAAATATAGTTAGATTAGAAGTAAATTCGTCATAATCTTGTTGCGGTTAGCGCATATAAATGAAATAGGATTACTTTTCATTCATCAAATGATATATAATCGACCTTCACTATTCAGCTATGTTTGGCATCATTTTGAAGTCAGTAAAATCTGCTCAAAATGGCAGAGTTTAGTGTGGCAGATTTTAAAACCAGTGTTGGAATATTATACAGTAAAAAATGCATGGAACTAAATGATGAATCTCCGGAATTAATTCCTATTCTTAAATCTATTGAAAGGGTTTTTGAAACTGGACTAAAAGAATGTCCATCGTTATTTAGCGATGCAAAACAATACTGCTGGAATTTATTTGAAAGACTTATGCAGTGCCATAAAGAATATAAATATGAAATTCCCTATTCGCTGTCATCAGCATATTATGGGGTATGTTATTTATTACCTTAAGAAGCTCGTTACGTCCCATGAAGTTACAAATTACGCATTACAATTCTCAAGGTTAACCAGTGTACTCGCGTCAAAACCACTATTGGAAAGGGTCGATTGCTTTTGAGGACACTAGCACATAATGGTGGTCTCGTCGATTTTGTTAAGCTACTTATGGAAAATAAGCCTTTCATTCACGAACACTACGAACGAGGAAAAGCTGTTTTTACCAATGAAATTCAAAGTCAAATATTTTTTTCTTTTATCGCTGACTTTAAAAGGATACAATTTGACCTCAATCTTACTCATGCTGATTTTCTTGATTCAACCTGGGATATACCTGTATATAAATACAAAGATTTTGTGCCGTGTGGGTAAGTTCTCTTATTCAATATAAACCTCCTTCCTGTGACTTCAATTGTACTGACTTAATGAAAACTTGAAATTTTAATTACAGTAAACTCGGAATTAAGGTTCGCTACGTAGATTCCTACTATATTGTCACCGATTTTGAAGAAGGCTTCGTCGATGAAGACAACTTCTTTGAGCTAGGAGACGTTATAACCAGCATATCAGGAACTGCATTACGAGGCAAAGTAGTTAATCTTCAAAAATTTATAACCAAAGAGTGTCGCAAATTGCTTCAATTTGAGATAGTTAAACTAGCAACTGAAAATGGCTCCCTCTTTAGACCAATCGTAAATTTGATTAAAAATGGAAACATTCCGAATATACTTTGGTCAAATGATAGTCTAGCTTCAAAAGGTAATTTACCTTCCTATAAACGTTCATTATTATTTATAAGGAAAATTTGAGATATTTTAGTGTTATTGAAATAGTATATATGTAATTCGGTTTGCTTATTCCATGGGAATCTATTTTGTTTGCACATAGGGGCATTCAATGTATTTCAAGAGGGAAATGCCTAAGCTAGTGTTCCCTGTATGCATATTACCGACGATAAACAATGAGTATAAGATAAAAGAGGTGGAATTGTGCTCAACAAAAAGAAATAGTGTTGGTGTCTTTTAACTTTAGAGATATGTCGGGGAACAATGGAGAGTTTTGATAGGCCAATCTGATATGAGGATTTTTAAACCTCTACTAAGCCACGTTCTAATTGTCTCTTTCACTTTAACAAGATGAGTATAAAAAATATAAGTTTTTAGTGAGAATGTGTATCACTAGGGGTCTTTACTTCTAAAAATGAGAATAGCATTAATAACTAACTGATAGCCACTTATCAACTTTTCTTGTCATTTTAAAATTGATTTCTGTGTTTTGGTTTATAAGCATAGTTGTGAAGAAAGACACAAAGGTCAATTACCCATTTCTTTAACTTTCGCTAAAAATTACCCAACTAAGAAAATAAAAAGAAATATTGAATTTATTTTTACCTTCTATCAGAAAAATCTTTAGATTGGCCTGCGCTTGAATTCTTGGATCTTTCCAAGTGTTATGCTGCCTTGAGTCCACGAGTCGTTGACACAACTGGCTTGGAAACTAAATTCCCTCAGTTCGAGGTGAGGCATACATTGCGCTACGTAGGTTCTGTGGATATGGGTGGGAAGAACGACGAAATTCACATTCCTGAGGCCATTGACGCTGCTCTCGCTGAAAATCCAGTTGCCGAACGGTATATGCCTGTTCGCGTTCGATTGGGCAAGTACTTATTTGTACTTTTATTTTATTCCCCACGACGAATCGTCTAAATTTCCAACACTTTTCGAAGAACTTTTTATTTTAAAGTAGTCTCCATCACATTATAGGCTTCGAGTCCATTAATATCAAGGTAGGAGTCTAATTGCGAATAATTACTAAATGATTTTTTTACATAGTTAGTGTTTTGTTTAAAATTTTCTTCCCATTGGCCTTTGGAATTTGAATCAACCCTAAAGTTGTTTGTTTAAATATTATGACTTAAGCTACGTTGTGCATAATTCGAGGTTAAATGGAGTAAGTTTTCACCTTTGACAGCGAAAAATCGAGTTTCCTTTTTTTATAACAGCAATATCGGACTAAATTTTCGTAAAAAATTATATTTTTCAAATTAATTCCTCCTACCAATGACTTTAACTATCAAAATTCTTAACAAAATTGCAAAATTTGCTCAATTGAATATTTTAAAAACTGCGTGGGCAAATATTGTAACTTTGACTAAACAAATGTAGATATTGGTTGATTTCAGTAACACAATTGCATATATTTTACATTAATTTTCACTGTCCGAGCCGCCATCCGGTTAATCATTATATTTTTTGCAATAATAAGCTTTCCTTTTTTCATTCATAGTATTCAGATGTAAGCATATATTTTTTGAAATTCAAATGGAAGAAGCGTTGAAGATTTTACTTAATTTGGCAATGAAATTTAAAAACATTGATTAATAGGGCGATAGCTAGGTTCTGACAACTAAATATCTAAAGAGTTTCTTACCCTGACCTTAGGATCTCTCTGTGAAGTTGTAATTGGCTTCAAACCTTAATATATTATTAAACAATTATGATTCATCAGTAGTCTACTTTACAAATAGCTTTCACAATAAATCTTATGAATATTATTCGATAAAGATTACCAAATGAGTAAACTAGTTTTTCCATAATTATGAGTTTGAGTTAACTATCTACCTCGCTATTTACATAATTTTATCCCTACTTAATCCTGGCCTTTCAAGAGGGGTCTTCGAACACGGCGAAGCTTGCTCAGTCTATTGATTTCTAAAAAATACCATAAAATATGATATTTGAACTCTGAACAGTTTCTTAGCTGCATATTTCGTCCACTACAACTTCAACTTTGATTTAGCATTTACATTGATCTTCTAAGGTACACCCTATCAAGTTCAGATTCCAAATTTGGCTCATTCTTCAACATTCTTCCTAATTGTGCATCTCAGCCTTTTCAGAAAATAGATATGTTATTGAGTTGCAACTATCATTTAAACGAGAAAAAAAGTTGATGTAGGCTATAATTATTTCTTTCATTTAATTGAATTTTTCATATACTTTTGTGACCGTAGCTAGTCATTTTCCATTGGCTTTAATTAATTTTGATCTTGAGATAAGAGAAAGTCCTAATTTCTTAAAGATTAGTATAAAGTTTGAAAAAGACTGAAAGGACACTGATGGATTTGCTAATTGACAGTCTTAATGATTATTAAAAATACAGGTAAACAAAAAATTTAACACTTTTCCTTATTATAATAGTGGGATCCAAACGAATGTTGCTTTGTATTAAATAAAATCAAACGCGTATAAATTGTGCAGAAATATTCACATTAAATTGCTAATTCCTCCTCTCAGTTCTGTAGTTACCTTGACAAGTATGAATTTTGTGACATCAAAGATCGTTTGAGATCATTCTTACCTTGTTTTAAGACGTCACACGTTACCAATCCCTCAAACCGCATGAAAGCAGTTTTTTAATTGGATTAAATGTTCAAATACGTGTTAGTTAATATAGAAATAGTACGATTTGCTTCTTCTTTCAACCCTTATCCCCCCTCCCTCCCCCC